TGTGCAGCCTGCAGGATGAGCTCTCCCCCATTCCCCACTCTACCCCTCCCCTCTGACCCTCTCCCCTCCCCTCTGACCCTCTCCCTTCCCTGCTGACCCTCTCCCCTCTCAGCCATGGCGTGCAGCCTGAAGGATGAGCTTTTCCCCATTCCCCTCTCTTCCCCCCTCTCTCTCATCCCCCAATTCCCCCCCGACCCTCTCCCCTCCCCTCTGACCCTCTCCCCTCCCCTCTGACTCTCTCCCCTCTCAGCCATGGCGTGCAGCCTGAAGGACGAGCTGCTGTGCTCCATCTGCCTGAGCATCTACCAGGACCCGGTGTGCCTGGGCTGCGAGCACTACTTCTGCCGCCGCTGCATCACCGAGCACTGGCTGCGCCAGGAGCCGCAGGGCACCCGCGACTGCCCCGAGTGCCGCCGCACCTTCGCCGAGCCCACGCTGGCGCCCAGCCTCAAACTGGCCAACATCGTGGAGCGCTACAGCGCCTTCCCCCTGGACGCCATCCTGGGCGCCCAGCGCAGCCCCTTCCCCTGCAAGGACCACGAGAAGGTCAAGCTCTTCTGCCTCACCGACCGCGCCGTCGTCTGCTTCTTCTGCGACGAGCCCGCCGTGCACGAGCAGCACCAGGTCACCAACGTGGACGACGCCTTTGAGGAGCTGCAGGTGGGGCCGGGGGGGGCTGCGGGCCGGGATCTGCGAGGGGGGCTGATGAGGAGCTGGAGATGAGGAGCTGCAGGTGGGTTGTGGTTGAAGAGCTGGAGATGAGGAGCTGCAGGTGGTTTTGGTTGATGAGCTGGAGATGAGGAGCTACAGGAGGGTCAGGCCATGGGGGAGCTGCAGGTGGGTTGTGGTTGAAGAGCTGGAGATGAGGAGCTGCAGGTGGGTTGCGGTTGAGGTGGGTCATGGTTAAGGAGCTGGAGATGAGAAGCTGCAGGTGGGTCGTGGAGGGTCAGGCCATAGGGGAACTGCAGGTGGGTTTTGGCTGAGAAGATGGAGATGAGGAGCTGCAGGTGGGTTTTGGTTGAGGTGGGTCATGGTCAACGAGCTGCAGGTGGGTTGTGGGTCAGGCCATGAGGGAGCTGCAGGTGGGTTGTGCTTGAGGAGCTGCAGGTGGGTGGGTTGTGGTGGAGCTGCAGGTGGGTTTTGGTTGAGGAGTTGCAGGGGGTTGTGGTTGATGGTTGAGGAGCTGCAGGTGAGTTGTGGAAGATCAGTCCATGAGGGAGCTGCAGGTGGGTCATGGTGGAAGAGGTGCAGGGTTGTGGTTGAGCTGCAGGTGGGTCGTGGAGGGTCAGTCTGGGTGGGGTTCCCTGCCCCAAGTGGCTCCTTGGGGCTGCTTTGCCTGGCTGGTCCCTCTCCCCTCGGTATTGGTGCCCGTCCCTCTGTCCCTGTGTCCCTCCTGAGGCTGTGGGGTCAGTCCAGGGGCTTCCTCCTGTCCCTGTGCCCCTGCACCCCTTCTTTTCCCTGTCAGGGTCAGCCATCTGTCTGTCCCTCCTCCCTTCTGTCCCCATCAGAGTCAGCTCTGTGCCCTCCTCATGTCTGTCTGTCTGTCCCACAGCCCTTTTGTCCCCGTTGGGGTCAGCCCTGTGCCCTTCACCCCCCTCTCCCTTCCTCCCCTCCTCCATCCACCCCTCCACTCACCCATTCATTCATCATACCATCCTTCCCTTCCTCCCTCCATCCTTCCCTTCTTCCCTCTCTCCCTCACTCCCTCCATCCATCCATCCCTTCACCCATCCATCCATCCCTTCA